TCTCTCTCTCTCTCTCTCTCTCTCTCTCTCTCTGGTATGATAGATTATTGGGTGGGCGGTTGGCAGGCGCTCCGGGGTCGTTTGGCGTGGTTTGCTCCTTCTTTCCTCTATCAAACATCAGTCGTTACTATTTGTCCTGCTTCTTTTCTTTGTATTTTGCCATCTGTTAACTCATCTAATCGTTTGTACTTATATAATCTAATTGTGCTGCAAGTCATCAAGTGTAGCAAAACTCTTGCTAAAACTAAGGGTTATTGGGACTGTGTGAATTTATTGAATTAACTTTTGAACCATGTAAATCAGGTGCTGATTTACCTTTTTCTGATCCTGTTGCCTTTTCGTAAGTGTCCGTAACTCCCAAAGTCTTTGTCGATTGTTGCAGAATAGTTGTTTCTTTTATATTTAGTAAATGTTCTTTTCTTAAACCTTCAAGTCTGTTGCCTTTGGGATAAGGAACAAGTTTCTAATTTTTAAAAAATCACTCTGGCCTCGTAGAGCCTTTTTCAACAGTAGCACATAATGTGAACAGTCTGAAAAGAGCCCAATGCTTTGGACTATTTGCTTGCACAGTGGTTCACGATGACTTTGAATTTCAAAAGTTGCATAGCGCACAAGGTGGTAAATTAATATGTGGCCCTTTTTGCTATAATTTCTGGCCTAGTCGAAGTGGCTCCCGATCTGAAACTGAAACAAAAAGTTTGCCCGAGCGTGCTGTAGTAGAATACTTTCAGTGCTCACTCACTGTTTCTGAGGTGGCGTGGGTAGCCTAGTGGTCAGGCTACCGGACTCGTAATCGTGAGGTTGCGGGTTCAGGGGGGTTCGAGCCTAAACTCGGTCCGACGTTGTGTCCTTGGGAAAGGCACTTTACACGAACTTCCCACTTGACTCAGTCCTTTCGGAGATGGACGTTGAACTCGGAGGCCCGGCCTCTTAAATAACCTAATTGTGTTGATAGGGGCGTTGAAATCATACAATTTTTTCACTGTTTCTGAATGCGCATGTCTGTTTCCTCTCTGCTGAAACGTGCCCTTGACCTTCAGAGATAAGGATTCTGTCAGACGGCGCTTTTACTTTCTCCTTCTACCTCCTCATTAGTAGAGAGGCACATTTTTGGCTCTAGTAGTTATTGGCTTATCTCGCGTCATTGACAGAGGTATGCTAGCAATGATCAATGAATGCCCCACACACGCACACACACACACGCGCGCGATTCTGTTACTTCATCAAGCAATTTATTTCCTCCTATTTCCCCCGATTTGTTGTTGTTGTTTTGTTTTTTTTGTGGGGCGGGGCGTCTGCCATGTTAGAATGTGTGGAGCCCCAACGTTTTGCAAGGCCGATTTTGTAGGAAGTGTCCTTTTTGGAAACAGCTGAACTTATCATCGTGGCTGGGGGTAGGGGCGGGTTGTCTTTTTGTTGTTGTTGTTGATGTTGTTATTGTTGTTGATGTGGTTGTTTTCTCTTTTTTGGTCTAATTTTTTTAACTTTCATTTTTTTTTTAAAGGGGGTGGGGGATTATCTTTTTATTGCTTATTGTTCTTATCTTGCACATTTCTTTTAACAATTGAAGGGGGAGGGGGTAAAAGTTATATTTTTATTATTTTTTAAATGTTTTTTTTATTTTATTTTGCATGATTTTCTTTAAGAGGGGGAGGGGAGGGTGGGTGTTTGATCATCGGATGATAGTACGACTGAAATCTTCCAGACCTTGCTTGTTCCGGGTTCTTTGAGGACTCCAGTATCTTCTGTGTGTCCTTCCATTTATCCGGACCAGTTGTTGTGCGTGTCTTTGGGTACGATGTGTGAAGCATGATGCTAAAGGCCAATTCGCTGAGGCTGAGGGGGGG